TTTGGTGCAAGTTTCAGTGCAGATACGCCCGGTCATTTAGCAGTATTTGGTGCAATTTTCAGTCCAGATACGCCCGGTCATTATAGCAGTATTTGCTGCAATTAGAATGCTCTGCACTTTTTTCTGAAAATCCTACCGTCTTCACCCGAATAGAACGCCCGGTCATTATAGCAGTATTTGGTGCAGTTTTCAGTCCAGATACGGCTATAATGACCGGGCGTTCTATTCGGGAGAAGACGGTAGTCTTAGAATTTGCCCCCTTTTGATGATGAATTATAACTTAAAAAAAACGCCAGTAGTACTTCCAACAGTCGTGCCCGTTCACAAGCCCCCACAATTTTAGGAAATGTACGGGCCACTACAGGAGCGTCCAAATTCATCCGACTAGAAATGTTTCTACTCTATTTTTTCTTCTTCAATTGGCCGATAGCTGGGCCAAGTACTGGTTGTTTACGTGGAGTGTAGGCATATGTGTGTGTGTCGTCATCCTCCAAATGAAAAGCACGACTCTGCCAGACTAGAAACGTTTCTACTCTATTTTCTCTTCTTCAATGTACGGGCCACTACAGGAGTGTCCAAATTCATCCGACTAGAAACGTTTCTACTCTTATCTTTTCTTCTTCAATTGGCCGATAGCTGGGCCAAGTACTGGTTGTTTACGTGGAGTGTATGTAAATGTGTGTGTGTTGTCATCCTCCAAATGAAGAGCACGACTCTGCCAGACTGTTTCGTCGCAGTTTTTTTTTTTTTTTAATTATTATGAAAAAAGTAATCTATATTCTTCTCTCATCTATTTCATCTTTTCTTGGTAGTACGCATCTATCTCATCCTCTCACCAGTCTATTTATAGTACGGGGGAACACCAACCAACCCGGATCTCTCCCCAGCCCAACGACGATGCATACGACTGTGTGAGTGTGTGTGTGTGTAAAAGCCTCTTCTCCTGTTTGTCCTGTTTGTCACGGAAGACCTCGAGTTTCTCACTGAAGATGCAGTACAATTGTTTTTCATTGTACGAGAACACACTCACAGGAAGCTCAACTGAAGAGCAATCAGGAGAACACCTGTAGTTATCACCTGAACGAGAAGACGATGGAAGAGAGTGTGAAAGCACCTTCGTTTGAGGAGTTGTGTGGACATATCCAACCGCATTTACATGATGGTGATCGGCAAACGACTTAAATGCCCAGGGTGTCTACGAAAAAACGAACGGAAGAGGGTGTGCTCACTTCCCAGGGTGTCTTAAAAAAAAACGAAATTTGTGCCTGAATTGTGCTGTGATTGCTATCACACACATCCATGAAGCTCATCACGAGGCGATGCCCCTGACGTGTGAATGACGATGTCTGTGTCGGCAGTGGGCTTGGTCTACAAGGTCTTTATTTTGCCCCGCTGTTTGAGGAAGTGGGTCACTGTGTCAGAAATTTCTCAGAACATATTTTCACGTCTGCCTCTGTACTTCGCCTTGACCATATCTTTCTGCACATTGTGTACCTGGGCACATTGTGTACCTGGGCACCTAGAAGGCAAGCGGAGTGATCTGAAGCAGGCTATTATGCATGTTGTTGCATTTGGGACCAATCATTATGGATTGGATTGTGTGCGATTGTGAGGAACTTGGATATACTGGTTCTTCACATCTCTCTCTCTCTCTCTCTCTCTCTCTCTCTCTCTCTCTCTCACACACACACACACACACAC